CAACTAAGATGTGCACACTCAGGTGTGTATTGGGTAAATGCCTATGGTTGATTATTTTGAATCCTTTCCTATGCGCAAGTACATGCGTTTGTGTGTACGCGCGTGCGCGCACGCGCGTGTGTGTGTGTATACTCACGCGCACGCGCGTGTGTGTGTGTGCACGTGCGTGCGCGCGCGCGCGCGTGTGTGTGTGTGTACTCGCGCGCACGCGCGTGTGTGTGTACGTGCGCGCATGCGCGCGCGTGTGTGTGTGTGTATGTGTGTGTGCAAGCTGTTGAAAGGTGTAATCCGAGCACAGGTTGCTACATGTATGTATAACGTAGTTTGTTTGCTATCCTTGCTTCAGCGTTGGGCAGGTGTATGAGTGTGTGTGTACGCATGTGTGTGTGTGTGTGCGCGCGTGCTCGTGCCCGCATGTGTGGGTTCGCAATGTTGATCTGGTGTTTATGTGCGTGTGCATGCACGCGTGTGAGTGTTCACTGTTTTGAATGCCTGCTTTCACATTATTCATGTGCCAGTTTCATGGTCGAGGTTGTTATGAAACCTCGCTGCCTGACATGTACAGTCATGTACACTACTTGTATATCAATGTGCTAGGACTGAAGGCTACATGACATACATGTAATGATACATGTACCTTTCCAAGCACAGACTGTCTGGTATGTCCAAAGGAGGTTGCAGCATGAAAATAACTTCTTCTAAAATAATATTACCATACTACCCACGGCTGTTAGCTGCACTTGGATCGCGGCAACTTAGTTTTCTGCACGTGAACCATGAAAAATCAATGCATGCTCATGCATAACCAGTCAGCTGGCCTGCTCGCCCACGCATTTGACAGGTAACAATTCCATCAAATTTGAGATATCGCTTCGTTCTAAGTCTCAAAACAGTTCTAAAGTCACCAAACCACACTGGTAATCGATGGCTATTCAATGTTAACATCTTCAGGGAGACTTCAGCCGTATCCCGAGAGTTTGGGCATCGTTGCCGTTCTTTTTCACGGTGTTCTTCTTCCTCCTGTCTGGAGCTGCAATTGAATCCTGGAATTATTTGAAAGGTATTTCGTGCGGGCTGTGGGGGATTCCAACAGGCATAAACTGACATCGCCATAGGATAACTGGTAATTTTCACCCTTCAAGGAGGTAGAGCAATGAGAATTTTTTTGTGGCGGTCGTGGCTATATTTGTGCACTTCCAAGGCTTTCATTCTGCCTGATACTACTCTCTACTGTATTGGAATCGTTGTTTAGGCACCTGTAGCTGTCTTATTTGGTAGATCTGCTGTTTTCAGTCACTTGGGACACTTTGTCTAGCCTATTTGTCTTTCGTTCGTGCCACCTATCAGTTTTGTGGGGTGCCTAGGCCTGTATTTGTGAAGTTCTCGAGTAAGACCCTAATTCTTGACTGGAGGCACGACTTGAATTGTATTTGCTGGGCGAGCTCTCGTTCACGCATTTCTCCTTATCGTAATAGTCAATATCTGCTTGCTGGGCGGACTAGCCGCTAGAATAGGGATGACCAAATTGTCCAAGTGTGAATTATTATTGTTTCCATCATCGTGAAATGAGTGTTGTGGAATTGCAGTGTCTGTCTGCCTTTGCCACTGAGGACCTGAGGAGAGTTGATTGTTACTTCTGCTCAGCAATGAAGCGATCATCAGCTCTCTTTGTTCTAATTATTGAGAGGACATACCAGCATCGCAATCAAGTAAAGATTAGGCAAACCTCGCCAACCTCCAACAAGAGTCGAAGATATTTTCTCCAAATGCAAAGACGATCTTTGTGAGTTTGTGACTTGCATTTGCGTGCATACATGAGCAAGTCACGAACCACGGCACGTGCGCGGTTACCATGCCATCTCGAACCGACGCCATCTGTCTAAGTTGCCGCTTCTTGACAGCCGTGTACCATGTCATTGGTAGTGATATTTAGTCAAGAAGGCAAGAATGGTCAGATTTTCTAAAATGCTATTTTCAGAATTGGTCTAAAAATGCCATATTTTGATACCTATACTGTTTGGTAGGCGCCTAAAGTGCCTGGTGACACCATCAAAACTGTCCATTATCGGTCTTCTTGGGCTCAAGGATCACAGAAAGCCACAAAAATCAATATGTCCATGGACAAAATGTTGCAGGCTGAACCATTTTCACAATTCAGCACCCGATGGAAATTTCGGTACCCATAATTTCGAAAAAATGGCTCGCCAAGGGCAAAACCAAGACACAGTCTATCTTGTGTAGCCAAGATACCTCCAAATGTGGTTCTTAAACACATGATGAAGAAAATGCTTAGTATCCTCCTTCCAGGAGGCTTCTTTGGGTCAAAAACCAAATTGTTTTACCATTTTTTTCCGAAAATCAAGAAATTGTACACTAACTAAATACACCAGAATACCTCTTATATGCCTGGTGACCCTACCTAAAAACTATACCAAATTGAAGAAGAGACTTCACTCCACCATTCTATGCATAAAAAACAGGGTGTCCATGGACCTTTTATTTTTACGTCTTTAGGTGGGAACCTCCTTAACACCTTTCCGTCCATTCATAGCTCAAAGACTGACCGAGCCATCCTAATTTCCTCCAATAGCTGGGTAAAGGGTAGTGCACAGAAGAAACGACTCGAAAAGAGTGTCATTACTCCAAACAACTTGCGTAGAACGGCTGAAAGCTGAAATTAACCTACCGGTATCTTTTAAAAAGTTGGGGGGGGGGGGGGTTCGCTGGTGGCTCCGGACTTTACGACCAAACCACGGAAAATACGGCAACTCACCTTCAGACAGTGGGTGGCTCTCTTCGTCTTTAGCGATGCACTCACACCAGTCGCTGCACTGCCCTAGACACTGGCTGTGCCCGGACGGCCCTGCACGATTATGGCCGTCTTCGAATACACTGCGAGCCATTCCTAGATCCCAGTCTCTTCAGGTATGACTAGTCAGCTTCACCACTCATCAGTGCAACTAACACTGAGGTGTACAGGTTGCCACAGCTACGTCAATTTTGTGCAGAATTTGACATCTTCCTTCCATCATGTCCGTCCTCAGCGCACACGGTCTTTCATCCAGTCACTGCACAATGGCCATGATATTATCACGTGGTAAGATCCCAGTCCAAGATATCATCATGCAGTTTCCTCAATTCTTCACTTACCTGACTTAGGCTGGTCAAAACTTCTGCCCAGTCTCAGTTTACGAGCGAGGTTTCCAATCAAATGCCTCTGGTTTCCTGCTGTCTTGCACTTGTCCAGCTGCTAACGTAAACGTAGGGACGCTTTGCATTGTTTTCAGCATTTAGCATCGATCTTGACTCAGCATTCCAAGAATGAACATGAACCACATCCATCGGCAAGAAATTCATCTGATGTTTTATATCTAGCGTACAGAGCCTGCAATGCCAATGGTGACGATCTGTATCTCCCCATCAACCGCTACCTACTGACTTCTTATGTCAAGGGCCGTTCCATAGCGCACTATGCCACGATGCGCGCACAGTTCCAGTTCTTCTGCTGCCAAGAATGAAGTTCTTGACAACATGACTTTGCTTAGATACGAAAGCACACCACAAAATTATCCAGTTCAGGCTTTCGTCTTTTTTTGAGTTTCGTTACCTTGTAAAGTATACTGCATAATAACTAAACTTTCTAAAGTACAAATTTTCGTTTACGAAATCTTTCGTTAGATCACTCCACCAGCAGGTTCGTTACATACTAAAAGCGCGTTCGAATTGTCACTCATTGACTTTTCGAGGAGTTTCGTTTTTCTGAAGAGGTGGCCTTATTGGCCTCTTCAGAAAAACGAACCTCCTCGAAACTTCTCGAAACTCCACAACCTCATCCGATGGGAGAGGTGGATTAGTTTCGAAGAGTTTGGAATAGCTACGTCACGTAGTAGATCTACGTGGAGATGGTTGATCTGATCGGACGACCACACGAGGTTCATCATGGTTCCATTGTACTGGCATTCACCATTAGTATGCGTACTTGCACATGTACATGTCGATGCGATGCGATGCTTGTCCCTCGCATAATTATAAGACCATGGTCTTATAATCGAACGAAAACGCACTTGTGAAAGGACCGAAAACAGCGACTTTTCGATTACAAGACCATGGTCTTATGTGCGCGAGATTACGGTACAAAGCACCGGTAGGTCTACAGGCAAACCCAAATGGTCCCCCGCACCGAGAACCCGGGTGCCGGGCCGGTCGTGCGGACAAAGTGGCAAATTTCTATTGCCACCGCAATCGGTGTACAGTCACGGATCATCAGGGTCCAGAGAGTCGTGTACTCTGGCATGGGGCTGCTCCACACTGCCCTGTATTAGGGCCCGGCGGATTCTGCCGGCAGAAAAATTGGCAGAATTCGGTACTTTTTCTGGTAAGTTTCATGCATGTTTGGGATAAAAAAAATGGCGCAGAATTCGAGGAATTGCCCGCCATAAGTTTTGTATGGTTCTGCCAATTTCACGGCTTTTCGAGCAGAATCTGCCACCTTTTCGAGCAGAACCCGCCGGTCCCTACCCCGCATCACAAACACAGAATCCGCCGGTCCCTACCCCGCATCACAAACACAGAATCCGCCGGTCCCTGCCCCGCATCACAAACACAGAATCCGCCGGTCCCTACCCCGCATCACAAGCACAGAATCCACCGGTCCCTACCCCGCATCACAAACACAGAATCCGCCGGTCCCTACCCCGCATCACAAACACAGAATCCGCCGGTCCCTACCCCGCATCACAAACACAGAATCCGCCGGTCCCTACCCCGCATCACAAACAAGGGAGTTCTATGACTCAGCATGAGTGCATGTTGTAGCAGCGCTAGATGCAGAGCCATGAAAACCTGTCCATGGGCCCATAGCCCATAGGGGCCACCACTCCCGTCCTGTCTCTCCCCCCCCCCCCCCCCCACAATCACCAGAGGACCACACTGGCATTGAATTGATCAGCACCGGGGAGTCATAAAGATACGATTCCCTGATTAGCACCAGCAAGAGAGGACTCCGCAGACCAGCTTTCCAGTCACTGCTTGGAAACTGCAATCAACAGAGCTGTTGAACATAACAGGTATTCGCTAACATGAAAAAAGTAGCATAGAATGAAAATGAGAATACCCACTCGAGCCTGGGGAAATGCAAAAAAAGAGCAAGCTACGAAACGCCAGCAGCACTAAGGGCCAGCACAGGGCCAGCCGTGAGTACACTGCGGCGCAATACAAGTAACGGGGGAAGAAAAACAACATGATTCCATAAAGAAGTGGACACAACATTGCACTGGGAAGATGCAAGCAGAAGGCGAATAAAAATATTTTTTCACTGGTTGAGGGAAAATATAGTTGGTGATTAAAAAAATCTATTAAAATATACTACCAGAAGCTGTAGAAAAGAAGGGAAAGCAGTTACTAGACAAATGTTGGTCTTGTTCCAGTACCGGGCCTGTCCGACATTGGAATTACTTCTTATCCTTGCGTCCAAATATGGAGCCAAGCCGGCCTTTCTTCTTCCGACTGTCCAGTGCCAGAGCAGCAACATCAACGACTCCGGGTTTACCACCGTCCGCTGGAGTACCTGCTTCTGCCGCTGCTGCTGTGGCCGGCGGTGCCGATGATGCTACTTGTGTTGTGCTGGGCCACTGTGAGCCGCTCGCAGCACTACTACCTGCTGTTGCACTGGAAGCAGAGGATGGTGGTGGCTGTGCGTGTGACTGTGAGGGTGTGTGCTGCAATGGTGAAGTACCCCCTCGGCTCACCCCCGGTGCAGTGCTGCCTGCGGCTGGAGCCGCTGAGGGTGGCGGCACGTGCGACATTGGACTTGATCCAGTATCCATGCTGGGCCGTAATGATGACGGGGAGTCGTGTGAGTGTCTCTGCAAAAGCATACACGCACGCACATGCAATCGAACACATTCTCACGTTATGCTGCCGGGTAAAAAAATTTTAAAAAATGGGCCTGTCCGGGATTTGAACCCGGGACCTCTCGCACCCAAAGCGAGAATCATACCCCAAGACCAACAGGCCTGCTCACGAACATACTAGAAACGATTCTCCCCATGTGAAAACTACCCTGTGGAGCCGTAGCTGAGGCCGTTAATATGGGTTCTGCAGTTGTGGATTGGATCGGATTTTATTTATAGTAGTGACTATCAGTATAACAGACATCTGCCCAATAAAAATAGACCCACTCGGGAGAAGGACATCAATGAAGTTGTAAAAAAAGAAGAAAGAAAGAAGAGGGGCGTGGCAAGCAACATTCGACACTCGCCATACTGGCAGGGGACAACACCGCAAATGGACGTCAATGCTAGACAGAGCTCATGGCAATGTTTCTGTTTAAAAGGTCATAGAGAGTCATGTTTGCTGCATACCTCACACCGGCCTACATGGCTGTTCCACCCTATCAACAAAGGGTCCATTTTTTATTAGGCCTACGCCTGTTTTGAATTCCCACTACAGTGGCCACTCTTTAAATCCGGCACTTTATAAACCAGCACCCTCTATAAACCAGCACAATTTTCATTAGCCAAAATGTCCTCTTCATGCACATTACAACAGTAAATCGGATTTGTTAATCCAGCACCCTCCCTAATCCAGCAGAATTTCTTTAGAACAAATGGTGCCGGATTACAAACGGACCACTGTATAAATACAGTATAGAACACCAAGGCAATGCTTGCGATGTGCAGTTACAAAGGGTGCACACGATTTTTTTCCGATATCAACTTGGTGATGCGGTGATTTGGCAACCTACGGCCGTGACATGATATCCCAGGATTCATGACAACTTAATTAATAAAAAAAACTTCTCCGCGGAATTGGTTCCATGCAGCAGCACACATGTAAATGCTGAGTCGCAAAATTTGGTCTACGTTTGACAGCATAATTGTACCAAATTTTGCAATAATAAAAAAATTGGGCCTGTCCGGGATTTGAACCCGGGACCTCTCGCACCCAAAGCGAGAATCATACCCCTAGACCAACAGGCCTGCACATGAATAGCATAGAAGGAGACTGCTCATGTGAACACTAAACGTGAACACTAGTAATGGATGAACTGGTACCATACTATCTGAGCCGTCTGACCCGTCACATTTCCCTGTTTATTGCCATTCCTGTGGCACATGCTTCTTCTTCACTATGTAGTAAGTATTCCCTCCCCTCCCCTGCCCCTGCACCCCTCCCCTCCCCTGCCCCTGCACCCCTCCCCTGCCCCTGCACCCCTCCCCTCCCCTGCCCCTGCACCTCTCCCCTGCCCTGCCCCTGCACCCCCTCCCCTGCCCCTGCATCCCTCCCCTGGCTTGCCCCTGCACCCCTCCCCTGGCTTGCCCCTGCACCCCTGTTGTGTGGTCTCATCTCTTGTGTGTTCGTACATGGCAACTATTTTCTTCCTATGCAAGTCGCAACTCCTGTTTTGAGTTGTTTTTCTTCTCTCTTTTTTCCCTACCAGTTGCTGTTACACTCACTGATCCTTATGCACAGATATACAGCAGTCCCTCACCAGTGGGACCATTGTTATTAGGCTAGGGCTTGTTTTGGACTTCACACTTTAAATAAAGAATACAAACAAAAAAACTAATGATGATAACAATACTTTTGTACCATGGAGGACAGGAGCACTTCTGGAGCTCCTGCTCCTGCCTCCTCTACATGTACGGTGGTCCATAAGGATTGACCATGTATTTTTTTGTCACGAACATGAGTCGTGATCATTTCTGTGCCCCCTTTTTTGGCACCATATAGCTCAGAGCTACATCAATAGCAATAACAAAACTAACAAAAGACAAAAAAATCTTGTCGATGCGATGACAACGACGACAAACTGGTGCCAAAACCCTACTAAGTAGATGCCAGCGAAGAAGGATAAGATGCCCGTTGGAACTTTGTTCCTCAGACATAGGCAGGTGCAGGCGCAGCAAGTGGCCATTCCGATAGACATCAAAGAAGCCTCTGCTCTGCTTGCCACCATCGATGCTGCATCTCCCGATCCGTACACCTTGCAAAAGCTAAGTTTCTTGTGCTGTGTTTTAGAATCTTCCTTGTTAGCATATGACGATTTTTGTGGTAGTTAAGCTGAGATTTTGGTTCCTTAGAATCTGGGTATCTCTAAAGAAGAGGTTGAAGCTGAGTTAGACGATTGTGTAAAGTGCTCATCATCTGTACACTCCACAATCACTGCCCTCAAACGCACGTTGCACACATCATCGCCTAGCGCGATCGGAAACACAACTAGCTCTAGCGACCCAGACTCACACGATCAACATGCCTTAGCCTCAGCTTCTCTGCACGCTACCGCAACAAAACTGCTATGTGCCACACAAGAACAACACAAGTCCATGGCTCAAACACAATCACAGCTCGTGCCACAACAGACAGCTCTCCTCAACACGCTACAATCTCAGTCTCAGCCTCGCACTACAACACCTACAACTTCTGTCAAGTTACCAAAATTGAAATTTCCAAATTTTCTGGAGATTTCTTGAAATGCAGTGAGTTCCATGATATGTTCATGTCCTCAATTGACAGCAACAAGGGACTGTCAGACATCCAAAAACTGACCTACCTCAAAGATCACGTTACTGGGTTGGCCCATGACGCCATCTCCGGCCTACCGTTGTCCAACACAAATGACACTGCTGCGCTAGACATCCTCCGCGACAGATTCGGTACTAAACAAGTACTAGTTGATTCTCATTACACTTCAATGCTTGACTTGCCGTCAGCATCAAACACCACGACCTCTTTACGCAAGTTGAGTGACCAACTAAAAATCTACTTGTGTATCCTCGATGCTCTCGGCGAAAAGATTGATTCGGGTGTTATCATCTCCATCATCACTAGCAAGCTTCCAAGTGCCACACTTGTGACCCTTGAGTTAAAAAAAGGGCCCAACGCCGTGGACCTGTCAGGACTTGAGAGACGCTATTGGAGCGTACATTGCTGCACACGAAGCGGCAGATCGCCTTTGCCCTCCAAAGAAGTCCAGCGATACGACGAGCAGCTTCAAGGCCTCTCACGCCATATCCATTTCACCGCCTCCATCTTCTGGGCACTCATTACCATTGCTTATCAAAGAGCAGCCTAGACTGGGTGTTTAGCCCTCCAAACTCAGCCAATTGGACCTTAACGGCAAGCCCGGCTGGTGCAATGTCACCTTCGTCACCCAAGGAGTGCGCGACCGCCTCTTGACGTCTGAGGAGGATTTCGTAGTCGTCAGTAAGAGTGTTGAAGTTGTAATGCGAGGCGTGTCAGTTACTACTCTCCATGTATTCGGATGCCCCCTGTCATTGCAAGATGGTGCTCTTGTGCATTAATTTTCATTGCATGGTCGGGTACATTGTCCTCCAAAGAGAAAGGTGGTTAGGCATGAGCGCTTTGCAGTCGATACCGGGACCAGGTATGTCAACGTTTCCCTGAGGAAGGTCGTGCCTTCTAGCTTGCGAGCGGGTTCCCGTACCGTAAGAGTATGGCACAAACGTCAAGTTCAAACGTGTTAACGCTGCAGTGTCTCTGGCCATCTGGCCAAAGACTGCCCAGGTGAAGCAGGTACGAGGAATGCCGTACGGAACTCTCAGCCCATCATGTCGTATGCGGACTCCGTGCAAGGGCATAATAGTACGGAGCATCACGAGAAGGCACTTAGCTGACAGGTGTCAGCACAAGCAGACCCGATGCTGGTACTGTCACCGAAAAGGGGCATTTGAGCGGGTGTGTCGTGCCAAGTCCAAACGTCGTAGTGTTCCACTTGTATTTTCCCGTATCCTTTACTGGCTGGCTGGCTCCTTTCGCTGTTTTGTCACTTGGAGAAAAGGGCTTGCTTTTCCCTTGGTAGTTGGAAGCCAGTGGTTGTTTTAGGACTCCCTTGGATTATGAAAACACGACGTAGAATTATCATGATGGTCTCTTGTGCTGTTCGTGATCTATCCGTTCAATGTCACCAATTAGTCACACTGAGGACAAATCATGTCACCGTGCCCCTAATACTGCTGAGAATTTCATTGAGCACCGCGGTACTATTGTTCACTTCTGTCATCACCCAAATCCCCCCTCCCCCTTCCCCTTCCCTTCCCTCCCCTCCCCTCCCTCTTCCTTTTCAGGTTCACCTTTACAAACCATCAGTATCCCCCCCCCCCCCACACAACCCCTATTCTCCAAGCATATTGTTCACAACTTCCAACTCCCTTTCTCTCTCTACAAACCCCAACGATGATCCCTTCAGAAGCCAACAGCATCACGCCCATACCTGAGTATCACTAGCTCCACCAGCACTTCCACCGCCACCAGGACCACCACCAGGACCACCAGCACTTAGGGGTGATGTGGACGGCAGACTCTCTGCTAATGGTGAGATTGACCTGTGTTGTGGTGACGCAGATCTATGCTGTTGTTGCTGTTGTTGTTGCTGATGTTGGTGTGAAAGGTATGCAGACGCCGGTAGAGAAGCCGACAGCGGTGTCACAGGAGTTGTGGGTGAACTTGGAGATGCCAGAGCAGCGCTGAAACGACCAGGGGAAACCCCGGGTAGATCTGTGAGGCAAGCAGACAAATAAGACAAAAATAGGAGTGGAATACAAAGAAGTGTTTGTGTTGGCAGTCGTGAGTCAGTCGGGTACAAAGGCAAGTCGTCAGGAAAGCGTGAGAAAACAAAACATGTATGCGGCTGGCTTGCGATTATTCAAAACAGTTTGCACACACGACCACAGCTCTCCTTACCAAAACGATGCAGTGGACTGCAGCAGCGCAGGGAGAAAAAAATTGGGCCTGTCCGGGATTTGAACCCGGGACCTCTCGCACCCAAAGCGAGAATCATACCCCTAGACCAACAGGCCACCTACAAGAAAAATACATTGCTAACTGTCCCTGAACAAGCTACTCAACCAAACAACCTACACAGACCAGCAGGATTCCACACAGTTTAAATCCAAACTTGTCTTGTCCATGCCCAACTTTAGAAATGATCTACTTCTGTCCTCTTTATGGAAAGGAAAAGAGCAAATAACACACCAGCAATATGAGCCATGGTGTAGAAGTAACATTGTAATCCTTTTCTAAACACTTCACAACCTTTTTTTCTAACAACTTCGTAACCTTCTTTCATTTCCACCGGCACAGGCCTCTAAAAACTGGATGTACAGTAAAAACTCTCCTTATATGGACACCCCTAATCCGGGCAACTACAAAGATTGGTCTAGGACACCGCCATTCGTTGTGTACGTCATTGTAGATGTCAAAACATGGTAAATATTGATGCCACTTGTCGTACTCGATGTGACACTAGACAGTAGTTGCGGATCTGCCTTCGAATTAGTCATGAAAACTATGCAAATGATGGATCCCGCTTTTCCAACTCATGCAGAGTTGTACAGTCTGGTTTAGGAGACCATGTGTGAGAGAGTGAATTCACGTACCGTCATCATCGCCATCGCTGTCTGTCTTCCCTTGTGCTACACCAGCAGATAGGAGAGAGAGTGAGTGAGTGAGTGAGTGTGTGTGAGAGAGAGAGAGAGAGAGAGAAAAAGAGAAAGAGAGAGAGAGAGAGAGAGAGAGAGAGAGAGAGAGAGAGAGAGAGAGAGAGCGGACACCGACATACAAGTTATTCAACAGCAATGAATGGAGACCGGATGCCCTTATTGCAGTGGAAACTGATACAATCAGTTTCCGCTGCAATAAGGGCATCCGATCTCCATTCATTGCTGTTGAATAACTTGTATGTCGGTGTCCGCTTGATCCAGGGATGCACATTCGATCCAAAGCACTTTGGTGCATGAAAATGTATCCGGTCAATACAGGATTCCGCTTGGTATAGGGTCCGGCAAACACAGGTTTTACTGCACTAGATAGAGGTCAAACACAACGCTGGGGTCAGAAGAAATGATAAGTTGTTAACTTGATGCACCACACTGTCGTCACGGTAATACGGTGAGTGTGTTTAAAAACATACCAGCCATCATCTGCAACTTGCTGACCCACTGTTGCCGTTCTGCACCGTCGTTGGCCAGAAATAGGTATTCTGCTCCGTTGTGAAGTCTACACACAGACATTGCGGTACACACACATACACACACATACACACACATACACACACAAGTAGGCACAAGCATATGCCCACACACGCATAAACACGTACGCATACGTACACACACATACACACACATGTACGAGGCATGCACATGCATACATGTACAAACACATGTACACACACATACACACACGCACGCACACGCACGCTCACGCGCACGCACACACACACACACACAAACACACACACACGCATTAGCACTTCTATACGATTCGCAGTCTGTGCAACACACGAATGCCATCACAGTTCTGATCTGCTAACCCCAATACGGTTCAGACAGTGATGTCACGCGAGTGTGCATAAAGTGACCCAAGGGCAACCAGAACGGTAATCCAGCAGACAAACCCACATCACATCATGTTCCAGTCTCCCACCGCCCTGATGTACAAGCCCCCACCGTCACAGTGTGGGACGCAATGCTCTAAACAAACCCTGCAGACCGGAATTCACCAGTGCTGAAGGGTACACACGGCAAAGCGGCTTACTTTAGCCGCAGCACGTTTTTCCGCTTTGTGTAATCCGTGGCCGCTTCGCAGTGGCCGCCTGTGATGTTGATTGCTGGGGCTGAGGGGTTACGCTGTACAAACACAGCAGCACAGACACACATACACATCGTGACGCATGCACACAAACAACACGCGTGCACGCACGCGCACACACACTCACACACAACGCACACATACACACACCACACACAACACACCACACAGAGGAAGCACGCGAGAATGAGCGGCCACCTTGTACGCCACTGTTACATGGGGTTTCTGCAACAGTCATAGTCAAGCAACTAACAACAATACAGACTTATACCAGTGCCTCCACCATTGTTCAGAGACCAGCACATTGGACACTAGTCCTGGACAATCAAACAAGCAATTGCCAGGCTTTTAATACGTGACAGCAAATCAAATCGACTGCTCCGTAATTAGAAACAAAATGGATATAGCATTCAGCACATCTGACCCAGACATACTGCATGAGTAATACGATGTAATCCTTTCGTCGGCACCAGCCGTCAGCGTAAAGGAAGAAAAAAAGTTGGGTCTGTCCGGGATTTGAACCCGGGACCTCTCGCACCCTAAGCGAGAATCATACCCCTAGACCAACAGACCAACCACACTGCACACTGAAACATTACAGACTTTCTGGCATCTTTCTGGTACCAAGAGATAAAATCCACCGCGTGACGTCAGAGGTATGACATATCAGTACCTGTTGAAATTCTCTCTTGTCTTTGAAGAAGTGGAGTAGTTGGCCACTCAGCACGGTGTAGTAAGCTTTCCAAGAACGAGCAGCAGACTATAGCCAAGGGCAGTTGATGCAAAGAAAGAACAGAAAAAACGAAGTCAGTATGGTCATTATCTAGATAGCAATGCAGCAGTGGGTTTACCGGGTGTTAGCGGCCGTCGTGAGTTCCCTCTGGGAACGGACACGATAATTTACTCTCTTTTTAGTGCATCAGCATGCACCGCATGCCCCCCCCCCCCACAATACACACATACAAATTACACAAGGACACTTAAAATCGATAGCACAGCACATGCATGAAATGAGGAAATGAAACGTGTGCACGCGTGTGTGGTGGGAGGTGTATGCGCGTGTGTGTGTGTGTGCGCGTGCATGTGCGCGTGCGTGAGCATAGAGGCGTCTGTTTACCTTCCGTCCACCCTCATCCAGCTCGTTCTTTCTCTGCAGCACTCCTTCGCATTCCCAGCTTAGTATCGTTACCTAGAACACGGGGAAATCAACAACACAAATACAGAAATACATGTAACTCGTACCTCGGTTATCCGGACCCGAAGTTACGGGCACTTCGATCGACCGGGAGCCCTTTGGGCGAGTTTTAGTGGTAATATTACCACTCTTTTGTCACTTTATGTGGAAATGGTGACGTCACATGCCATATCTATGGCCTTTCCCCATCAAAATGTATGCGATTCGGAGTTATGGATATTTCGAAGTATCGAGCAGTGCCCGGTCCCGGACCGCCCGGGTAAATGAGGTATGATCGTATACTGTAAAAGCCATTATTCTAACGAGGCGCATATATAACGATTTCCCAAAATTGACTGGCTTACGTGTACGAAAGGCAACGATTCTCACGCATTCCCTACGCTCAATAGAGAAGTACAATGTATCGATTTCTGTATAACGATTTCTATTTTAACGACAGATTTCTCCTCGTTAAATCGTTAGAATTAGCACTTCGTTATATAATTATATGGCTTTTACAGTATGACAGACCGGGGGAGGGGTTATCAGACAATATTGTCGGATAGGGTGCTCATGCACCAAATGTGCCGCTTAGTCGGGCACACAGCACCATATTCTTCAACTCTTTGTCTGTAGTCAGTATCACATAGCTCGTTAGTATAGTGCTCGGGCACATGCAGAGAACACGGAGGTGCAAATAACCACTGGTAAGGGTCTACACATTGCGGAATATGCCTATACTGTATTGTTGCATTACTGTTTTGCTGTATTGCTGTATTGCTGGTTTATTTTTTTATTTTTTTACATTGATCACAGCTCACAGGCAAAGACCAAAAATTGCATAGTGGGAGCATAGTGATGGTGAGGCTGTATTGCTGTATTGCTGTATTGCTGTATTGCTGTATTGCTGTACTAGGCCTACGATGGTTTAAAAGTATACTTGTTCAGGTACACAAGTACAGTCAACTTGGCTAACAACGACTGCGGATATAACAACTCGCGAATAACGACAGAATTTCCATGCCCAGAGCAATGTCCCATTTAACTGTAATGCATATATTGAGACTTCGGGTATGAGGACACTTTGCGAATAAGGACACTTTTCTGATGCCCCGCCGAGTGTCGTTATACGCAGAGTTGACGGTACGTCTCAAGAAACAGGGTACACCGGCTCATGTTATGCTAGTCCTAGTACAAGTCTGCCAGTGTGCTACATGTAATAAGGAATAGATTCCTGCTTGCGATGCCACTTTACATAAAAGAACAACAACGACAACAGTAGTGGCGGCAGCAGTAGCAGCAGTAGCAGTAGCAGCAGCACCACCACCAAAACCACTTTGAGTTCAAAGATGTGTTTGATCACCGAATGCCCACCATCCGAACACATCCTATTGGTTGTGTGTAATACTGCTCTTCATTGCATTTAGAAACCATCTATAGGGTGGCAGAGGATGGCCCGCTCAGCAATGACATGTGCCCGCAGGTGCAGAGTAAACTCTGAGAACTGAAGGGTTGTAAAGCAGATGCAGCAGAACAATGTCTGCCTCTGTACCTTGTTAGCATGGTCCTTGTTTGCTGGTGTGACGGCTACAGTTGGGGGGTGAGTGTTAGCTGTGCTACTGGCTGGTTGGTGTGCGATAGGACTGGCAGATCTCTCAGTACTGCTGTCCAAGCCAGAGGAGCTGCGATGGCCGGGTTTGGAGTCAGTGCTGTCCGACGACAGACGCTTGTCAGATAGTGACGATGACAGTGGGGAAACTGGCGAGATCGCCTGAAGGCAAAACCGAGGCAAAGCAGTAATATTACACAGGATATGAGATCATGGCACTATGAGTATCTCACAGCATGATGTTGCCACGTAATCTAGTGGAGTACGACATCATGGCATCATGTCACAGTATGACTTTACCATGTCACACTGCACAGTGCTGGATGACGTCACGGCATGGCGTCACAGTTTGACGTGACCAAATTCAGTTGTGTATGACATCATGTCATTTACGTACTGGTGTCACATCCACTGAGGTGCTGTGATTGCTACTGGATGTGACATCACAGCAGCACCAGGGAGATAATGTACTGTCGAAGAACGACCCGCCTAGGATTTCACCAAGCCCAGCATACCAATGTATACGCGGTGACTCAACTGCGCATAGACTGTAATACATGAACATTAGAACGGTCTAGGCTAGGAGGCTGCCCCCCCCCCCCCCCCCCCCCCCCCCCAGTTCTTTGACGACCGACAGTAGTGCAATGTCCGTGTACCTGTTTGCTGGCAGTTGTGGATAGAGCAGCATCCGGAGAAGTACCAGCAGGTAGTACTGCTACACGACCTGGGGTTTTCTTCTCGCCTGGAATTCCCGTCACAGTAGATGCCGGCAACACGTCGTCGTTCTCTTTCCGCTTCTTCTCCACCAGGAGAGCAGCAGTGGCGGCGGCAGCAGCTTTCTCCTTTCTCTCTTGCTCTGCCTTTATTTGCTGGCGCTTCAGTTCCAGCTCGGCCTGCAGCTTGCGTTCGGCTTCTTGCCGCTTGCGCTCCTCCACCTTGAGCTGGCGAGCTTTCTCTTCTTCCGCCTTCCTCTGCTCCTGCACACACCGGGAAGAGGAACAAGGAGTAAATAGTACGGTACATGCAGCAACAAGTACATCTAGTTTGATCACTGCTAGCCATGACATTTTCCACATCATACTAATCTCACTATAATTATTATCTCTTATTTACCTCAGGCCATTGTGAGGTTAAAGATTTGAAACAACGACGGCAATGACAATAGCGGTGACGACGACAACGACGATGACGACAACACATACTCCACAAAGATTTCTTTGCTATACTGTAAAAGCCATATACATAACGAAGTGCTAACTCTTAACAAGTTAACGAGGAGAAGTCTGTCGTTAGAATAGAAATCGTTATACAGAAATCGACACATATACTGTCCTATTGAGCGTTGAGAATGAGTGAGAATCGTTACGTTTGGTACACGTAAACTAGTCAATTTTGGGAAATCGTTATATATGCGCCTCATTAGAATAATGGCTTTTACAGTAGTCTAAACTTCCCACTGCATGTGCTCTTCAGGTAATCTCGCTCGCCACACCAGCAACAAGACTATTACACAGCGAGATCAGTTCCTCCACGCAGCAGCCGTATTGATCATCGATGGCACATGGTCAGTGAGATGTCACATGATCATAGAGGCGTCAAAAGTCATGATTATAGAGATGTCACATGATCTGTGACGAGGGGCGTATGGAGTACTCAATGAAATAGGACTACCGGGTTTGTTTCTAAGGAGATGCACTTGTTGGTCTGGGTTGCCGGTTCATGCCATGCATTTTCATCTCACTTGGATTCAGGTTGCATTGTTCTGTACGCTCTACCGAAGGTCACAGGCATTATCTACACTCCCGATTCCACAAACCATCAAAGTGTCATGACCCGGATCAGACTCGTCGTGAAAGCGACCACGCATGGAGCTCAGCAGCCAAAAGCTGGACTCCGAAATATACTAGAGTTCTGTAAGAACCATGATTAGTCCTGCGAAGGATTTGGCACTTTCGTTAGTTGAGCAATCATGGCTTACAACTCGTGGCCTAGAGCCGCAAAGTGTGGTCGTACGTCGACCACACCTTCAGTACAAGTCGTCAGCATTGTACTCACTACACTGTTGAGCTTGAGGGGACCCTGCTTAGTCCTGCAAGGGAGCTGATACCTTTGTTAGTCGAGCAAGCATGGCGCCTCTTCTCGTGTCGTAAGACGCAAAGGGTCGACAGTACTTCACGTACTCTAGACCCCAGGCCCGTTGGAGGGAACACGGCATTGCCGTCTGCTGCTATGTTTGGGGGAAGAGCTCATATTGGGTGAACCGAAGGACGCAGCTACGCTTCCCGCCTGTACTGCTGCAATGCAACCCAGCACCGGATCGCGGACGAAGATCATGCCAGCACTTGGAGATCACTGATATTCACATTTGGGTGAGCGAGCTCCCCGTATTGATTGATCTTTGTACTATATTCTAGTTTGGCTGATTGCATATATTGCACCACTGTTTGTAATATAGAAATAATCCTTACGCATTCTTGCCGCTGTATACTTTTGATCTCATAATGTAGCATATATAAGGAGCTGTTTTGCTAACATTCATCCTCGATCCGGGGAGCTCACTACTCCTCTCGATTCTGAGAGAGTCACTCCGACTCTCTCCTGCTTTGGGTCTTTTGACTCTTCACGCTTGATCTTCGATCTAGCATTGCAATGGTTGAATAAACACTGTCTCAAGTGGAATTATAAACCTGTCGTTCTGTGTGAGCTAGCTAACTTGGATGGCGACTATATTGGTCGTCTACCTGGGTAGCCACTAGACTGATCTAAGCCAAGTCACAAACCCGCCAAAGCGCGGCCGTGACAAAAGCATGGACCATCGCCATGCTACTCACCTCCTCTTTCTGACGTCGCTCTTCGTCTTGCTTGGCACGCAGCGCAGCCGTTCGCCGTTTCTTCTCCTCCTCGGCCTGGCGCTTACGCTCCTCTGCTTCCTTGCGTTGCACCTCGCGTTTGCGCTGCTCGGCCTCTAGCTGTTGGCGCTCCTCGTTTTCAATCTGCGGAAGCAAATCACACAGCGAACTTGGTGCTAAATACACGCAATGTTACGCGATGTGACGCAACCTCTGCAGTTGAAGACCACCTGGCCGTTAGAGTTTTGTCAGCATCGGATTCACACAATGCCTGGACACAGCGCAATGGTGCACATGCACGCTGGCCTTGTTTCTGTACAAGCCGAGGTGCAGACTAGGCTTACATTCAACCGCACGTTGTAGACACATAGCGATATGCCCATTGTGCACTGACGTAATTTGAACCATAAACACACCCCACACGCTACCACCTCAGCCCACCTGGGTATGGTCGTCTGGGGCCGGTGTTGAACAGTGTATTCCTTGTCCTAGCGTACTCACATGCATTACTCATACCTTCCATATTTGGCAATGCGCAATGGACATACGAATGCTTACTCATACTACCGTGGATGGTAGAAAAACTCCACACAGGACTAGTTGGCCAAGTGTTATGCTAGTTGACCCATCGGGGTATTGTCCCCAGATGAATTCGGAATTGCAATTCCTTTTCCCTGCCTGTAACTCAAGGAATACCTCCCGGACTGCTATTGTTGCCAAGCATGTCTCCGTGGCGCAATCGGTTAGCGCGTTCGGCTGTTAACCGAAAGGTTGGTGGTTCAAGCCCACCCGGGGACGAGCATTTCTTTTTTTCTTTTTCTTTAATTTTCATGTTGTGCCAAAAAAAGAGAAGAGGGAGAGGACACCTGGAAGCTTTGACCACTTCTTCGGGGTTTGGGAGTCGAGGTGGTAATCAAGCTTGATATCCTAGCTTTTGGCCATAAGGCCACACCAAGTTATTTCTATGTTTCGCGTCACCCGCGCGCGTACCTTTTCGAATCCTTGACAAGAAAAAAAAGAACCTAGACGAGCCAATCGATGGCTGCCATGTTCTGGCTAACATTCTACTTGGTCCGTTTCATCGCAATTGTCGCTTATCTCCCACGCACCTTTTGACAGGTAAAACCCAGTCCGATCTCGATATCTAACTCACATTCGTTTGGGAGGTTGTGATGGCAAGATCAGAGGAGACCAGAAAGAAAAAAACCATCGCGACTAGCGCCAGTAGCATCGCGATTCATACAATTTTGATGGGAAAGTGGGAAACTTTTCGCTGCAGTGAATGCACTGCAGTGAATGCACACATTCACTGCGGCGAAAAGCCAAGCGCAGCTCAAAGACCGGAACTGTAGCAGGGGAAATCGACATCCTGACCTGGAGAGCGTGACAGTCACGGCCAGGCCAGCCAGCTCAGTTGTTTGAACTGCAATGTTTGAACTGCAATGACCTGGTATTCTTTGCAAGCCTGCAAACTAATGGCGAGATGGTGGCAAAGAAGACATTGTCCGACCTGGCAGCGGCAGTACAAGAGTCGTGGTCAGCGTATCCAGCAGAGCGTATGACAGCTGTCTGGAGAGGGATGTGTGCCTGATTCAAAAACATTGTTGAACACACAGTACTGTAGTGACAGACGGGTCACGCTGCCCACGTTCCTGCAAGTGCCAAAGTGACAACCGCGACTGTTCCTTTCCCATCGCTGCTATACGCCAAGCGGAGAAAGCAAGAGATACGGTACTCTACGCTAGCAGCTATACACACCAGTGAATGTGAGCTCAAGTGGCATCAGCTCGAGTGATACAGAGCCAGAGTCCGATAAACTAAAGCCTGAGTGCAAGAAGGCGCTCCGTCGATGTTTTCTTTTGTACATTTTTTGTAACCTTGCTTCCTTTCTTCGACTTGCTTCATCAGATTCCATCGCTGAATTTATTTCTTGTGGCGGACAGGAATCCTGTATCATGCTTCTTCACTATGCGTATTGGAAATTTCACAGAGCTGTAAAAAAACTCCTGTTCTTAGTTGCGATAGATAAGCGACAATTGCGATGAAACGGACCAAGTAGACTCTAGCCAGTATGGCAGATCAGAGGTTATCAGGTTCTCGATAATCTTGCATTCCAGGCGATGGTACGTAGAAGGTGAGAGAGATGAAAATTTCTATTTTTCCAAGCCGTGCGGTAGGCCTAGGGCCTGCTCACCAAGCGAGCGAGCAGAGATTCCAGGTGTCAAGGACTTCGAGATTTTCCACGATTGTGATGGAGCGGGATCCCACTCGACTCATGTAAAAATGCAGAAGGAGCCATCCATGAAATCTCTTATTGTATCGCTCCAGCCCAGTCTGCCAGCTGTCCTGTAACGACTTGTCGTTTTGGATAGAAGTGACAGTTTAGTAGTGGTATTCTGTGTGCAACATGGCTCAGTACCCATAGAATGGAGTTTTGTTTTTTCTTCTGTTTTTGTTTTTTTTCCGCCCGCCCGCGTGCCTTTTCCAGAAAATATCCGACGCGAAACATAGAATTAACTTGGTGTGGCCTAAATGGGTCAAATTTCGATTTTTCACAATTTTTTCTGCAATCCCCTCTGGAATGCTCTTCTAATTATGTTTCTGAAGTCCATTTCTCCGAAAAGCAAGCCATAACAAGAATAGGATTTCGGCCAGGTTTTGTCTTGTAAGCACTGAATTGGGAAAGTCCATGAAAATCCAATCCGTTTCACGCCACTTGCATCACTGCATTGTCCGGTTCGAACCCCAATTGAGGTACTTTTTTTGGACCAACTTTGTAACCTCAAAATCCGCGGCACTGCACTGTGTACGATAAAACCACGAAAAATCGCCAAATACGGGAGCTCGCCAGAGCCAGCGCTCATCTTTTTTATGAATGGACTGTAGTGGCGTGGCCACTGCTATCTCACTCAACACAAGATCGTATACAGTAAAACTTGTCAAGGCGACCACTCGGATAAGGCGACCACCTGTCCTAGAAGACCACTGAAACCAGGACCTAAGGATGTTATTTCTGATGTGCATGGTGACGTGACGTCATGGAAACCGCTTTGCGACGGGTCAGGGCAACCCTGTCCGTGAGCTCAGATATTCGTTGGAGTTTCGTGAAGAAGTTAGATGTTTGTCCCAGGACTCCTTGTGTTGTCTGAGAGTGAGAGATGGACACGCAGAGCTAGAGGCGAACAAAACATGGCGCAGTCAACAGTTTCATGTATGTATTTGTAGTAGTTTGAACCTACGTGTAGCACCTCGTCGGTGATGGGCAAGAAAAACTTGAAAAAGCGACAATCAGCCAGCGTGGCGTCCTTCAGTGAGGAAATTCAGGCAGACGCGCCACCGGCTTGGCTTCTGCCTATCCTCCAGCAAATGCAGGACGACAGCCGTCGACGGGAGGAAGCATTGCTGGCCAAATTGTCAGGCCACCCACGACATGATCCGGCGTCTTCTTCCGTTGACATGGACGAGCGTGTTTCCAGCACCCCGATAGATTTTTCTGGATCACCTCACTCAGAGCACGAGGCCCCAGGGCGCACGACGGAGGAATTGGTTGCCAGTGCTGCCAGTGTCGGACGGGCAACAAATGCCAAGCCCCCTCTCGAGTTAGACTCCAGAATCTCTCTCCACGATTTCTCTGGCTGGAGAGCCCGGTGGGATGACTATGCCACCCTAATCCGATTGGATAGACTGAGTACACGGGAGCAGTTGGCCCACTTGCGGACTTGCCTGACCAGCAACATGCGTGCCACGCTGGAGCACGCTATTGACATAGGCTCGTGTGCGTCCGTCACCGATGTGCTGGACGCCATTTACGGCTTTCTCAGGAGCTAGCGCAACGCTGCCCTGGACCGCACAGTGTTTGCGGAGCGTCGGCAGGAGGCAGGCGAGTCGTTCGACGACTTCGTCGTGGCCCTCAAGGCCATTGCAAAGAATGCCGATCTTTGTGATCACTGTTTGGAGCAGCAGATGGTCACCAGGATCATGTGTGGGGTGCGTTGCGTGGAGACGCGCCGTAAGTTGCTATCTGTCCACCCGTTTCCCTCATTAAAATCCGTCATGGATATCTGCCGTTCGCGGGGGGGCAGCCGTCAAGGACAACGCCATATTGTCCACCTCAAAGTCACCGGAGGTCATGGTCCAGGCAGCAAAGACTGAGGTGACACCCCAAACAAAGTGTCGTTACTGCGGAGGCACCCCGCGCGGTGTCGCCAGGAAATGTCCCGCACGTGGTAGTACGTGTAACGCATGCGGGGTGAAGGGACATTACGCTCGGGTGTGCGAGAAGACGTCCACAGCATCGGCACACTCCTCCAAATCGGAAGCTCGGTCAGTATGCATTATGGAAGCAGCACAGCACAGCACGTGCCTCCAGGATCCGAGTGCAGCTGGGCAGTATATTTCACAAGGAAGATTACGGCACATGTTTGGCAACTCCGGACACGGGGGCGGATGCCTGCATCATGGGCCACTCCTTGTTAGGGCCGGGTTCCACTGCGGCTCCGCTGCTCCGCGGCACTTGGCTGCATGCAGCGGAGCAGCGCGGTTCCACTGACACTCGCCATTGGTGGTACCGCGGTCGTGGTCCACACTTTTTGATGACGTTTCACCTGCCTACGCGCGCGCGCGCGCGCGCGCGCGCGCGAAATCAAAAAAATCCTCGTGTTCTGGCCTGCGCAACGAATTAAATTTTGAATTTTAAATTCTGGCGTACGAAACAATGTAAAGTACAGGAAACAGGTCGAGCCGCGACCGCGGCTCACAGTTTTTGGTCAAGAATCGTAGCAAAAGCTCGCGGTGAGCCGCGGCCTCGCTGCTCCAGCTCGAGCCGCGGTCACTATGGTAATGATGACGTTTCAAGCCACGAAAGACGAGCAGCGGAGCAGCGGAGCCGCAGTGGAACCCGGCCCTTAGAGTTTCTTACTGTCCACCCAAATCAGATCATGCCCTTTTCAGGCTACCCAGATCATCGCTGCCAACAGATCCGGCCTGACATGCATTGACACTCTTTCCCTCGCTACGGCGACAGGGTGGTACGGTATTTGTGTGCAGCAACCATGATGGCATGCTCCTCTTCTGGGAAGTCTGTCGGCAGTTGCAGATAATCCCGGAGGACTACCCGAACCCCATCCAGATTGCGCAAGTGGAAACCCCGAACATCTGCACGACTGACGGCGATACACAGGTGCAGCAACTCACTGATATCTCCTCGCTGGGACGACGCATTCCGGACACGCACTCAGAGTCAGATCGAGCCCGTATCCGTAATCAGCTAATTGCTCACTTTTCATCCGTGTTTACATCTGAGGACACTCTGCAGACCATGGCCGGCCCACCTATGCGCATCCATGTGCAGGAGGACGCTATCCCGGCCTGCGTTCACGGCACCCGTCCAGTGCCATATGCACATCGAGACGATGTCAAGGCTTAGCTGGACACCATGGTACGGCAAGGCGTGATAACGCCACTCGGAGACGTGCCCACTGATTGGTGCCACCCGCTCGTTCTGGCCCCGAAATCCAACGGTGGCCTGCGCATCTGCATCGATTTGACTAAGCTTAGCCGTAACTTGTTTGGCACCAAAGCTTCCCCAACACTTTAGGGGTGTCATCGATTGGCGGATCTGGATTGAGTGCGAGCAGACGGTGTGTTCCAAGCAACGCTGGCCCAATCGAACAAAGCAAGGGTGTAGTACGCAACAGGTACGCAAATCGCACAAAGATTCTTTGGAAGCTGTTAAAAAACGTCAAAGTCCATTTCCACTCCAGCCACACCTGATCACGGTGGGGGCCGGTGTGGTCGGATTCCACTCCAAGTACACCTACTAGTACTCCGGATTGGGCCAAACGATCACACTCACTCGGAGCGCACTTGGTCGGGATTCGCCCAATCGATCATACCCTGGGTAATTACCAACGTTCTATGTGTTCCTGCCCCCTTCACCTGTATTTGTGATGAAACCTGCATAGAACTACCAGTTCTAGTGGCCTCCTACATGATTAACTTCCAGCCATCTCCCATATGGTCTAGTGGTTAGGATTTCTGGTTTTCACCCAGACGGCCCGGGTTCAATTCCCGGTGTGGGAACAGCTTACTTTTTTTCTTGCCTTAGTTAAATTTTGGAAAAGAATGCAAAAAGGAAAGTTCGTCCCCGGGTGGGCTTGAACCACCAACCTTTCGGTTAACAGCCGAACGCGCTAACCGATTGCGCCACGGAGACACCCATGACATCCAAGCAGCAAACAAATAATTTCATTGACGTCGTCGCATGAACCCCATCGGGTTACAGGTAACTGTCAAGCGGGATTCACAGAAGCATTTTTGCGATGCGATGCACGATGCGACGGCCGCAAAGCCAAGAAATCCCCAAATCGCACCCACCACACAGCTCACGCAACCGTCGCAACTGGTTGAGCCAGTTCGAATCGCAAAACAGCTTCTGTGAATCCTGCTTTGTTCAACGGAATGCCAACTGAACGTCCAAAACAGAAAGAAGTATGGACATTGTGCATGCAATGGCACCCCATATTTGGCTTGTGGGACTGGCCAGTCTAGACTCACCGCAGTTTCGCGATTCAGACCGGAGAACTTCTCCACCTGAGCAGCCAGCGTCTTCTCAAAATCATCCTGTTTCTTCAGCAGCTCTTCCACTTCTTCCAGCGATGCCTGGTAGGTGTGCAGCCACAGTGAAAAAAAAACCCCAGAGAGAACAAATGATTACGCTTTGTGAAATACACTTTAAAAGAATTTTTAAAGAATTTTTTTACTCTTGGTATTAGAAGCCTCTTTGGAGGCAGAACACATGCATACACACACACATACACACACATACACGCACACGCGCACACCACCACCACCGTCATCACCTCGGCACCATCAACATGACTTACGCCAAGCTCTTCATTGGCCAGGAATGCCTCGCGCAGCGCAATCCAAGCCCCGGCCTGCTGTGCCTCCTTGATGAACTGTTGTGTGTCCAGACAATGCTCATACTGCTGTTGCCTGTCTTCCCATAGCGATAACAACACGCTCTTAGCTGCAGCCAGGGTGTCAATCTTTTCACGTATCTGAATAATGCACAGCGGCAAGCACACACGATAGGCACAGACAAACACAGACTCCCATTATCCCACTCTCCCATGCAGCACAGACAAACACACAGACTCCCACTGTCCCACTCTCCCATGCAGCACAGACAAACACACAGACTCCCATTGTCCCACTCTCCCATGCAGCACAGTACACACACAGACCTATACATGCAGCACAATACACACAGACTCACAGAGACCCATAAACATGCAGCAGAGTACACACAGACTCCCAATGTCCCATTGTCCCATGCAGCAGAGTACACACAGACTCCCAATGTCCCATTGTCCCATGCAGCAGAGTACACACAGACTCCCAATGTCCCACTGTCCCATGCAGCATAGTACACACAGACTCCCAATGTCCCACTGTCCCATGCAGCGCAGGATACACTGTATGGCAGGCTGGGCAAGGACTAGATGTTTGTGATGAGTTTATAAACAGCTGTTACACTCAGACCACCCTACCCAATCCCAGCAAACAGATGGGGATCAGTCATTCTCCATTGAAAACCTCTCTAAACTTGCCCTCTAGGACGCAATTATCTCTGGCAGGGATTGTGGCTATATGTGGGATCAAACTGTCTGCTCAATGTTCGTGTGTATAGAGTTCTGCCGGCCTAGGATGATACTGCATACAGTGCAGCCAGCCTAGGATGATAATGCATACAGTGCTGCCGGCCTAGGATGTGTGTGCATACAGTCAACATGTGCTCACCTCGTCCGATGCAAAATGCTTGCGTCCAATCATCTCGGCTCCATCGCTGACAAATGTGGAGAAGCCGGTCTCCCTAGCGTCGATCTCAGCACGGTGCTCTCGATGACGCGTCAGCAGTGCTTCGGCACTAGTCACATCTCTGGCCAAGTTGTCTGATTTGATCAAGTTGAGCATCTCATCAATCCAGGAGCTACGGTAAAGCACATGGTCAGAAAACATGGTCAGTGTTCTGTACCTCCACCAGCACAGTAAACCCTGTCAAGGAGACCACCTGTACCAGAGGACCACTACAACAAGAACCAAGAGGTGTTATTTCCAGTCACATGACCCTGCTAAGGAGACCACCTGTACATAGCAACCACCTGTACATAGCGGCCACCTGTACACAGCGATCACCTTTTGAAGGTCCCTTGAGCGGTTGACTTGGACAGGTTTCACTGTACATGTACCACGGGACGTCGGACACGCTACAGACATTACAGTAGTATGCACCATATAACTCTTTGCCCCAGGCACCCCGCTAATCAATCACACACTCCGCTGGGAGAAACTGCTATGGTGCAGGGGAAGTGGACGAAGTGATCATGAACAACAAGAGCACACACCCACACACGTACTTGAGATCTCTGAATGTGTTGAGGTAGCGGTGTAGCTGCTCCGACTCCTCCAGTCGTGTCTTCCTGCTGGCAGTCAGCTCTTTCAGCTGTTGCCACAGCGCAGCCAGCTCACTTTGTTTACTGGCCAGGCGATCAGACGAGTCCGGGAATGTGGACACAAGACGCTGGCATTCCTTGTCGAGAATGTGCACCCGCTCTTCCAGAGCTGCAATGTCTCTCTGTACACAGGTGTGGGAATGATTGTGGCATTGCATATGCATACGCACACAAGTAGACACATGTACACAAAACATACACGCCCACACATGCACACATGCGCACGCCCACACACACAGACACACACGCACACACGCACACACACACACACACACACACACACACACACACACACACACAGACAGGCACACACACACACATTCAGAGAGCAATACACTGTATGTACGTAGTCCAACAAACAAAGACCTACATTGTACCTAGGAACAACTGGCAATGACTTGCACATACTGACAAAGCCAGAGTGTTCTATTCCTTTATAGTATGTTAAGTTACTCACCTCAAATCCTTCGTGTTTTCGCTTCAAAGCCTGCACACTGGCCAGGTCACGGCCATAGTCTTCAGATGACACGGCGGCTTCCTTCTCCTGTATCCATGTACGTGTCTCATCTGCATCATGGTCGAACGTATGTATCTGCTTTGCCCCAGCCAGAGACTGTGTGCAGAAATGTACACAAGAGGGAGAGAGAGAGAGAGAGAGAGAGAGAGAGAGAGAGAGAGAGTGAGTGAGTGAGTGAGTGAGTGAGTGAGTGAGTGAGAGAGAGAGTGAGTGAGAGAGAGACTCCTTAGAGGCCAATGTGGCCATCATTACAGACAGGTTTTGAAGACAGACGACAACAATAACAACAGCATGAATTTGGTGTGTAGCACAGTGTCCTGTGTGGGTGTCTTTGTCTCAACAAGTGGAAGAGGATGACTAGTGGTGTCTGTCTCATGTGTGGATATGTTGTATCTGGACTTTCTTCACCTGCTCCCAGCCCCGGGCCATCTCCACACTTATACAATATACAGTGGACGAAAATTTGCATTTGGAAGACGATTTATTACAAGACGACTACAGAAACACGACTAGACATTGCATGATAGGACATAAAGGTGACAGGTGCAAACTACATGTAGCTGTGACTGGCTGTGACTAGCTGTGACTAGCTGTGGTGCAGTGCAGTATACTTCAAACATTGGCAATTGTGCAGTACACACTGGCAGTAGCACTGGCGCATACATGTGCACACACACGCACACGCACACACACACACACACACACACACACACACACACACACACACACACACACACACACACACACACACACACAGACACTTCAAATATGTAAACACTGTGACGACACAATACACAGACGCACACTTGCCACCATGTACGAACATAGTGACGGCACATACACATACACATACACACACACATGTACAGACAAACACACTGACACTTACAACACGCAAACACTGTGAAAGCACAATACACGGACAGACATTTGCTATGTGAGCACATAGTGAAGGCACACACACACGTACATGTACAGACATACACTTGCTGCATGTAGGATACTACTGTGTGACGTGTGAGCAGCATGTCTACAGTACAATCTGCCCGGCCAAGGTGACATGACGACTGATTGCTCAAGCTACCCAGACAATGGCGACATCTGGAAAACAGACGTGCTCCTGATTTTAAAGTTTGGCCACGCCCGTGTGGCATTGCATCATCGGAGCATCCGCAGTTCACAAGGAACGCGACACACACACAGCGGTGTGTGTGCATGTGTGTATTTGTGTGTTGGGGGGGGGGGCATGTGCATGTATGTGCATGTGCATGCACACACAAATGTCCATATACATCCATCAGTAAGCTAGAGTGGTAGAGTACTTCCTGCATTGCAGTGTGGTCACCAGACATACATATACATGTACACTACTGGGTCAGTGACAATCACACAGCTGGAAATCATTCAGGCATAACAGCACACACCTACACTGACACACACTGACACACACACACACACACACACACACACATACACACACACACACACACACACACACACACACACACACACACACACACACACACACTGACACACACACACACACACACACACACACACACATAAACACACACACACACACACACACATAAACACACACACACACACACACGTGTGGAAACCACCTGCTACTAATACGAGCGCAAAGCCTGGCCACAACCAACCTGGCCTGAAAGTGAGCAGCAGAAAAGGCTTAGACAGTGCAGAGAACCGACCAGAATCCTTTAGCAGTAGCCACATTGCTTTTGGCTTTCAGTGCTCAATCTTTGTAGACAAGAAGAAGGAGAACTTGCAGGCAAAATGAAGTGTTTGCTACTATCAGTCGCCATTGTGGCATTCATTGCAAACAGCCATGCCTATCCGATCAGTCAAGAGGCTGCAAACGAGAGGGAACAGCAGCAGAAGGAGCTTGCCGAGTTGGAGGAGGGCGCCGTGGAGCTAGTTGCCAACACGCTGGCAGAAGAACTGACCGAGGCTCTGGAGGACGCAGCTGCTACCAATGACAACGAGTACTACAATGCCGGCGAGAGCAACGATGAGAGCAAACTTGAATTTGCCAACAATGATGACAGCGAACTTGACTTTGCCAACAATGATGACAGCGAACTTGAATTTGCGAACGATGATAGTGCTGTATACGAGGATGCTGAGCAAAGCGAGCAGCAGCAAGAGGACTCGGCCTACGACAACATGCAGGAGTTCTTGGGCGCCATTGCCCAGGACTCTGACCAGGAGACCGTTGAACAGCTGGCTTCGGAGACAAACGAGCAGGACGACAGCCTGGTGGCCTCTACTGACCAAGACAACGATGAAGAGGAGGTGGCAGAAGGCGAACAGGCCAGGGAAGAGCTGGAGGATGTCGTCGAGGATGCAGTGGGAGAGATGGTCGAGGATGCCCTTGAGGATGCTATTGAAGATGAGGTTGACCAGTACGAAGACAACTACAGTGTCAATGAAGAGGAGGCTACTGACAGCAATGAAGACAACAGCGAAGAAGACAACAGCGAAGAAGACCTAGATGAGCTGACCGGTGAAATCGCCTCTGCGCTGACAGACATGGTCACTGAGGAGGAGAATGGAGACGACATCGCACTGGATATGGATGGCCAGCAGGAGGACATGGGACAAGACTTTGATGCTGCTGCTGCTGCTGCTGCTGCTGAGGAAGAGAACGACTTCAGTGACAACTACAACGAAGAAGAAGAGGAGGAGGAGGAAGAGGAAGAGAGTGCGGAACTAAATGGCTTTCTAAGTGACTTGGAAAGCAAGCTGACAGGGTACAGCGATGATGATGCCGACGAAGACGCAGACGCAGTATACAACAGTGACGAGGACATGGAAAGCGAATTTGACAACGAGGAGGAGCAAGAGAGTGACTACAATGATGAAGAAGAGGAAGTAGAAAACGAGGAAGACCTAGCGGAGGGAGACCAGGACGAAGACCAAGACCTGGAGTACATGACAGACGCCATGGATAGACAGCAGGACACGGAAGAGCGACAGAGTTTGGAGAGCGACAATTACGACTCCGTGTTCGACGACTACAACGCTCTCGTGGGTGACGACTTTGAGCGCAGCGAACTGGACGAAGAAGCTGCTGCCGCCTCCAATGATGACGAAGACTACAGCGAGAGCGAAGACAACTGGATTCAGCAGCTGAGAGAGCGTGCCTCAATCGAGAACAACCAGCGTGCCCTGCCCGTACCCATGCCTATGGAGGATCGCAAGTAAGCCGGCAGCCAGTGTGTGCTCGATACTGCTGCTGCTGATGGCACAGCCGCAGAACTCACCCGCCACATTTCTTTGCTAACACACAGTTCTTATCATTTCCTCGCTTTTTTCTCCCTTGCGAGTTGGGTGTGTGGTTCTTCAGTTTGAATTTTTTTAATATAAAGCATGCCTTACCTCTCGTTTTACAGCAGTCACACAGTACTCAATGGCGATAGCTCTCTTGTTCAGCCGTAATGATAATGCTGCTCTGGCGTTTCAAATTCATGGCACATGGCTACAAGTACGACAGATTTCATTTTAACATCCGATCTTCTCCTGTGTTCACGTGCTGTGGTGGTGGTGGTGTAGTAAACCTCGTGCGGGCAATTAGCTACTGTCATTGTCTTCGGTACATCATGATTCATGGGGGGCTAGCGGTGTCACCCACACTACACAAGGTGATAGCCATTCCTACGTGAAGATGTAGCAGCTACAGAAGACATGGAGGGCTGCTCAAAATCGGGAGAGTTTTTTTGGGGCGAGAATTCTAGGCAAGCCAGTGAGTGGGGAATGCTATTCCTGTTGAAAGTGGAGTTTAGTCTGGTGGTAGTATGTTCTGTGGTCATAGCAATGCTTTCAAGTACATGTACACATACATGCTATTGCGGTGTGCGTGTGTGTAAGTGTGTGTATGTGTGTGTGGGGGGGGGGGGGGTAGTGGGATCACTAGTGATAGTACGCATGCATCTCCCTACTACTCAGCATGGTACGATCAGAACTATTTATCCGGGAACCGACGTGCATCGCTTTCTCCTAAAGAACTTTCGGACTAAATAGAATGCCAGCCAAGCAATGAGTTGCCTGGCCTTTCAACACGTTTCACAGTACGCAACGTGAAATGTTCAGCCGAACCGCCTTGTTGGGAGTTGGATGAATTTTATCCAGCAAATGCGCACACTATCCTTCGGCTTGTACAGTATGTCTTCTGACCACCGGGCATGAGCAGGTGGTCTGCACACACTCAAACAGCTGTGAACTGCACGGTCCAAAATAGCTACAAGTAGCAATACACACAGCACAGCAAGTGCACCACCAGCCCCTGCACAAACACGGTCATGTGCAGCAGTCGTGCGAAACAGTCGCTCAAGGACAGTCATCGGGGCAATTGCGTTGCTCGTGGTGTGTACGTCGGCATGTGTATGAATGTCCATGCTATTCTGATGGGGTCTAGGGAATACAGTACTGGTGCTACGGGGCTCTGGTCTACAGAGCTATGGTGCTACACAACACAACGCCAAGCATAAACACACACACGCACCCACACACACCCACATGCACAAGCGTGCCCCCCCCCCCCCCCCCCACACACACACATACACCCACCCACATGCCCCCCCCCTCCCCCCACCCACACACACATACACCCACCCACATGTCCCCCCCCCCACCACACCCACACCCACATGCCCCCCCCCCCACACACACACACAGACAACCATCAACAAAACCATCACCTTCACTAACATCATGAAACTCACCTCACGTCGCAGTTGGGTGTATTCATTCGTGTCCTTCCAGTGCTGTTTGAGTGCATCAAGACGCTGCAGAATAGCCCCGGAGTCGGAGTGACCTCCATCACACAGTGATGTGGCTAACTGCTCCACAGCTATGACACGTTTCTCACCGGCCGACAGCTCAGTGCTGAAGTCCTCGTGCTTCTGCTGCAAGAGCTGGGAAATAGGAAAACAACACCACACGGTATTTAAAGTGCTGTGCTTCACCGCCCTGAACCCTAACAGGGCCATAGGAAGGTATTCAACATTGGTGCGGCCATAAAGAGGTGGGTGCTTGGAGCCCTCTCCCAGGAAATATTGGAAAATTGGTTACAAACAGCCAATATTTTGTATTGCTTCAAAACCACAGGACGAAACTATTGGTGCGGCCAAAGGCTTTGACAGTACCTGCTGCTCTGGTTCCGCTGCCGCTGCCTACTGTTAGTTCTTTAAAACCTTGGTG